GGTATTGACCCTCTAGTATTCTAGAAGTGTATTAAATGTTCTTGAGGCTCTAGAGTAGAAACTATTCTGGAACAATAATAACAATAATAATAATAATAATAATAATAATAATAATAATAATAATAATTTAATATTTATATTGCGCAAATTAACATGTGGATATGATCAAATGCGCATCACAACACTTTTCGGGGGACTTTGGCCGGACTGCATCAGCAGTTTACAAACAATCGAAGGAAACTTATTTGAAGATGCCCCCTCCCCCCCAATTCCCAGTAAACAGGCCAGACCACATCACAGTAATCTCGTGAGTGGGTTCTTTAACGTCCCCTGCCTAACCAAATTAACTAATTAATAGATGCAGGAGACGTGACCTGAGGTTTATTCGTCCTTATCCGAGAAGACTAGAATGTCTATCCATTTCTTAATGTTATAGAAAGGTAGTGCATTCTCCTCAGTTATTTTAAGACCTTGAGTGTTGAGTTATTCGGTCTAATTTTAGCTTTTCGCATTATATTATTTCTTCGTTTCATTTTCGATCGTATTATTTTTCTTAAATTGCGCCGTTCTTGCTTTTTTAGAAATAGTATTCAATAGATATCCATTCTATAATATACACGTAGGTATTTTCGCGTAAGTTCAAGTATTCCTCGCTAGAATCAGATTTTGCATGCAATTAGCAAATCATTTTTCTTGGAAAGAGTGAAAAGAAAAGCGTCAACAAATTGAACATAGTGTAGTTACGCATCAAGCTTTGTGGTTTTTCTTTTTTGCGTTTCTCGCCTATTTCTAGATGGCTGGGTTCCTATTCTAAATATAAAATTTCCGTGGGAGTAAATCAGAGAATTAACAAACGAGTTTTACACGCCACATGTTTGTCTTGTGTACATCTTCTTGTTGGCGAAGCTTAAGCTAAAAAAGTGCTCTTACCGTAACGGTAAAAACAGATAACGATAAAACAGAAACTAATTCCAAGTAGAAGGTAGACAATAACAATGATTCCAAATTCAGTTTTCCTAACGAGTTTTATGCTCTTTAGTAATTATCTTCACTTCTTTTTAAAGCAGATGTTGTGTTTTAATTTTTCAGGATACCGTGGGTCACATGAGCGAATGAGGCGAAAACGATACATGAAATAGGGGAAAGGCTCACCACGAAAGAAACACTTGGTACCGAGCAAAGATGACAGCAAAATGTGGACATTTTTCTATATTAATTTGGGTGAAAACGGAGAAATACTAGAAAACTGTACTTGCTCTCGTTTTAATTGTTTTCTTGATCAGTGAAAGTAGGAAATGTCTTTAAAAAATCGGTTGAAGCAACTTTCGATAAAAAACCCTAAGATACTCTACCTTCTATGAAAAGAAAATGGCTCTTTTTTTCTGCCTTCATTAAGGCGAGAGAAGTCGATATAATATGCAGGTATCGTATTTTTTGCTTTACGTATTAAGATCAAATCAAAATTGGGATTTTTGCAGTTTATTAGAACAGAGTTTTATAGATAATTAGAATTTCCACAAGTGATCACTAATTCAAGTTGTTGCTCTTAGTATTGCATTGTGGGACAGGGCATGAAATACGAACGGAGAGTGGAGCAACAAAATGGCCGCTCTGAACTATCAACAAGCGGCCATTAAACAATATGGAGGGCCCACCTCCAGATTAAAAAATATCCACTGTTTTCAAGAGACTCATCTGGGAAACAAATAATTGAATGAAAGAATAAATGTGTAGATAGGCTGGAAGCCATTTGTAATCGATCTGTGCAAGTAATGAATATTGTTCATTATT